TTCTAATTGATCTTATTAGCGGTTTGTCATTGACTGCATTATTCAGCCCTCATCATAGCTGGTTAATTCTGAACATTTAAAACACGCATAATAACTCAGTCATATATCCAAACAGGTAATTACCTTATTACCTTATGTTTGGGTATGCTACCTTATCCAGGTAATCCAGGTAATATATTCAAACATTAAATAACCGTATGATTAAGAAAGGCAGCAAGAGTCGTTCAGCAAAGCGACGTTCCCACAAGAGGTCATCCAAATCGAGATCAAAGAGCTCAAAGCGCAAGTCACATCACAAATCCAGGGCAAGTGTATATTTCAAAAAGCTTGTTGTTAACCTTATTGAAGATGACGTTAAGCCCATAAAACTCACTAGCAATTCTATGAGATCGTAGTCATAACTGATGATGACATTGATGAATTTATTCGTCATTGTGATGAATTTGAGCATAATTTTTTTTGAATTTAAGAGTGGTAAAGTTTCACGAAGCAGTAAATCAGGATCAGGAAGCGGCACAACGACTTCTTCATCGCGAAGAAATAAGCTTTCACAACAACGTCAAACTCAGAAGGGATCAGCAGCCTCAAGTAGTCATTCGCACAAGCGCCAACAATCAAACGAAGACTCCAATCGCAGCGTCAGTTCATCACAACGTGAAGTGCCAGCCAACAATAACCCTGTCGATAATAATAATAACAATAATGACAGTAATAATATGAATAAGAATGATCTGAGAATGGATCCCGTTGAGCTTCGTTGGTCTTCGAGAGGTGGTCTTCAGAAGGTATTCATCAAGAACCCGACCTCGGAACGTCGCGCCATCAAAGTGAAATGCTCAGATAATAACCTATATCGTGTAAATCCAGTTTATTCGTTCGTTGAGCCAAATCAAATTCTCTCCATCGATGTGCTACGTCAGGTCGGCGAGGCCAAAGTCGACAAAATGGTTTTCCTTGCTGCTCAGGTTCAGTCTTTACCCATTCTTGTTTAATCATCTTTCTCACCATTTTCAAGACCGTTTTTCCCGTATTCCAACCATTTTTGGCTATTTTCACGTAATTTTTGGCCATTCACATTTTCGGCTATTTGGCTGTTTTCACGAAATGCGCCACAACCCAATGTAATTGGTGCTCATCATACTTTCATCAATGAAATAAATGCTCCTTGTTTTTAAGGCAACAGCCCAAGACGATCACCCAAGCGGAGCCTTCCAAACAAACGAACCAAAGCCTATGATGGTATTACCGTTGATTGCGGTCAATGAGTGATTATTGAACTGGCTTGATATTCTCATGCTCCTCATATATGTATCATCCTCAAAACCCCTGCCTAATTACCCCACTAATTCAGCATTGAGAAAGTACATCTGACTTCTGCATTTTATTATTCTTTACCATGAACTGAACCAGTAAATTTCGATATGAACTTATTCAATAAATTTTTATTCATATCATCATGATGTGATAACCATTTGCACCGAAACTTGATTCCATTCAGATCAAAGATCTGCTGCATTCATGATTACTGACAACTTTGGATTGTGATAATAATGTACAAGTATAACATGACCATGTACAGAGTGTACTGTAATAAAGTAAAAATCATAAGTAACAATTTTTCATTTTTCACTTCCTATCTCACTGAAAGTGCTCGATTATCTGTCTGTATGAGGTCAAAAACCTGGAAGAAATTCATCAAGAAATCACCTGTTTGTTCCCAGGCAAAAGTTTCCTTAACAAGCGATTTTAAGATTTGTGTCTTACATTTGCTTCCTTCACTTTTAATTCTTTTATCACGATTCGCTGACAACTTTATGAAATGTTTCTATCGGTCGGTATGAAATGCTTATTGGGAAGGTTGATCAAACAAAGTT